TGTTGGTGGGTCCCATTTTAATCCTAAAAAGAAGATATTGTTGGTGGGTCCCATTTTAATCCTAAAAAGAAGATATTGTTGGTGGGTCCCATTTAAATTGTATTTTTTAATTTTTTTTAACCAAATTTCATGAGTAAAGGTTTAAAAATAAACCATGATAATTATGGAGACGCAAAAATTATTTTTATCTGATTTGGGTTTCGTAAATCAGATATAATATCTGATTTATGAAATTTGACCTCTATTTCGTCATTTTGTGTTTTTTATTTGACAATTAAGGGGTGTTTTTAATAAAAATGAAACAATACATAAACTGTGTTTTTTAACATATTTAATTTAAAATTTCATGTTTTTTGGTTATAAAATAAGACAATGATAATTGTAGTTATAAAAAAATTATTTTTAGCTGATTTTTGGTGAAAAAATCAGACATTATATCTGATATTAGAGATGCAAAAATAAACCATGATAGTTATGGAAACGTAAACTTAACTTTTTATCACACGTTTGACGACCCCAAAATACATTATTGGCGAAGACAAACGTATTGCATATGTGGGGRAGGTTATCGGAAGGTACTCTAAAACACCATTTATATCTTAGAATAAACCGCCACTTCGAAGATACACACAAACATTATCACTTTGACGTGATTTTATGTTTTGTGATGGTTGATTGTGTTTAGTGGGTTAAAGGTTGTGATGGTTTATTGTGTTTAATGGGTTAAGGGTTGTGAGAGTAAAATATATGAGAAGAGAAATGGAAGGGAATGTGTAAAAAATTATGAAGTAGGAGGTTGGTATTTATAGTGAAATTGGTATTAGAAAAAAAATAAAAATAAAAAGTTTTTTTTAACCCGGATCGCCCCCATCTAGTACACGTGTCCAAGAAAATAAAATTTCAAATTTTTTTTTAACTTAGAAAAGGGGGATCGCCCCCCATATAGTACGGATTGCCCCCGGGGACGATCGAGTGGTCATTCCGGCAAAAACTCTAAAATATGGTTATTTTGTGACAAATGATTGTATAAAATGATTAGTTTTATAAATTTTCCTTTTTTATTTAGGAACACCCACCTTAATTAATTATCCTACAAATCAGAATTTTAATAAACAACTTAGTCACATCAATTCCAATTATAGTAACTCCGGCTCTATCTCAAAATTTAACAAAATAGTAGATATCCTTAATCAAATTCACTTTTTAGACATTTTTCCAATGAAATTTCCAATATAGCTAGAGTTTATGCAAATATTTTACGTATTTACATAAAATCGATGTTTTATATATTTGTTTACACTTGATCTTCATATTAGAAAAAAAGATCTTTACACAAATTTGCATAGGTATATATATATAGGTAGGTAGGTTCATACGAGAATGAAACTTATTGAAGAAAATAAGAGAATGATCAAATTACGTATGAAATCACGTGTGATTTTATATTAAAGGTCAAAAAAGTGTAATGGCGATTCTATGGCCGCGTGAATCGCATGTGATTTTGTACGTGATATTATTGTAAAATCACATGTGACTCGGTCATTTTCTTATTTTTTTTAAATATGTATTATTTCCGTATGAACCCAACTCTCTCTTTATATATATAAACAAAAGATCGTGTGAAAATAGTAATTAATGTGAGAAGTGTAAAAATAGATTTAGACACTTGATCATTTTTAATCTTCGACCAACCAATCAGTTGCGTTTTAGAAGAGATTTATCTGGTACTTCTAATTAATGTTAATCTAGTGGAACTCTTCAATTAGAATTAATTCAAGGGTGAAGAATTCTTCTTACATTTCTCATCATAACTCTCATTTTCACTAGAATATAACCCTATGTGTGTATGTGTATATATATAATGTTTATTTTATCCATTTATTAAATAAGGTATGTGGTCCATACATATTTTCTCGTCTTTTCACAAAATTATTTTTTTTCTCGTAAGTCTAGATTTTCTACCACCATTGCTTCAAAAACATTTCGTTTTTCAAACACATTCCCACCACTAAGGATAACATACCAATATCTACATACGACAAGCCAATAAATAAGCATACATAAACGTACATAATCATAATACCATCATAGATAAACATACATACTCATATAATCATAGATAAACATACCTATGATTTTCTCCCAACTTCTTTAACTTTTTTCTTACCACCAGACATACAACTGATTCTCATTCTTATACTTTTCTACTTGTGCTTTCCTTGACATTCTGTAATGCCTCTCCGTAACAAATATTCTTGTCTCGTCGAACATTGTGATTATGGGTTTCTTTTTGCATCAACAATAATTGAATTAAAGGATATACATATCCCATTTTCTATCGCCTCACAAACTCTACCTAATTGAAAATATATGTTACACCATGTATTAGGGTCTATTTCAATAAAGTGATTATATGCATCAACATTTACTGTTTAAAACTTCTCCATGTGAGGTACAAATCTATTTCAAAAGTGGATATAGCTGCTACCAAAAATTGTTTCTATACTCAACACCATCAAACCTTGTACGGAAATTAGCATATATGTGCCKTWCACTTTGCCTATGCTTTGCATAWGATGCTAATTCTTTTATCGCTTCAACAATGCMTTRTTGCATAAAAAATGATAATAGATACACTTGTCGATTCACAAACTGCATACATGTGTTAATGTTAAGAAAATGCATACCTTGTGTTGATTAGGCATGATAATAATCCTCGTTCATCCAATAACCTAAATATCTTCTATAAGTAGTTCAATGAACCACTTCTAATTCTCTTTGCTCTCCACATCCACTTCAACCCAAGCTACATAAGCATTCAACATTGTAAGTGAGTAAAGAAATAATAAGAACACTTCATAGTAATATAATAAGATGGTTTTGTTGTACATACCTATAGAGTAAATCTGATTATTCCCATCTCGGCTAATAGCCAATATTAAGTGTCCTTTGCACACACCTTTTAAAAAACAACCGTCTAGTCCTATAACTTTCATACATCCACTAATCCACTCATCTTTGCAATCCAATTTGGTGTCACTAGGGATCCTAAACTATAGTCTTTACTACATATATGTTTATCGTTACTGCTTTTAATCTGATATATAAAATGCCCAACGATTTATTTATTCAAAATAATTGTCTAAAAACTTGATCATTTAAAATACAAAAGTCTATTAGGGTTATTTTGAACTTTTCCCTATATTTTATTTATTTGTAGGATGAGATGTAAATAGACATGAAATCGATCTTCACAGATTAAAACAATTGTTATAGATGTGAAATAAATAGAAAGTCTCGCAAAGAAATAAAGCAAATACCCATATGCTACGCCCCATAAATGAAGAAAAAGAACTACCAACCTCGATCGATAGTTCTATTTCATTGATTCTAAAGAGTAAAATCCATGAGATACTCAAAAGATTGATCTATGTTATATCATTTTAGTTTATGAGTAATCTCCTATATAGTATTAAAATCATATTATATTTATAGGTCCGATGCAGATTCGGTATGGGAATTATATGGATAACGTCCCAGCTTTACAATTGGACCCTAATTCTTGGACGAAGGTATGTGTATATACTTGTATCATATTAAATCTCTAGTGAAGTAGAACGGGTTAAAACGAGAATCATAAACATCACTACAACAAAAATCGGGTTTATAGGACGCTCCCAATTTCTAAGCGTCCTAATAGACCTCTGGACTTAGTTTATAGGACCAAAAACTATAGTGTCCTATCTAAAGACGTTATAATAAGTTTATATGACGTTTTTGACGCCGTAATAAGTTTTTAGGACACTTTTAATATAAAATGTCTCATTAGCAACTTTGTTAGAACACTATTTGAAAAACCGCCCTATAAAAATAAATGTCCTACAAAAACTTGAGTTGATAGGACAATTTCTCAAAAGTGTTATAAAGTTTGCTAATGTGACGCTTTGTATTAAAAATGTCCTAAAAAACTTGTTAAGATGCCCCGAAAATGTCATATAAAATTACAACGCCTTTAGATAGGACGCATTATATTTTGGTACTATAAATTAAGTCCTATAAAACGGTCTATTATGACGCTTAGAGATTGGGAGCGTCCTATAAACCCAATCCAATTTTGTTGTAGTGCATTTTAAGAATCGGGGACCTCGTGATACATATATATATTCAATATAAATGTCGTGATAGATATTCATTATTATTTAAGGTTATTCATCATGAATAATAGAAGAAATAGGTGGTTCCTTTGTTCTTAAAATATTTATGGTTTTCATTTAAACTTGCTCTCTTGCACTAAAAAACAAAGAGGCTTCATAGGCGTACTTTTTCTAACCATAATTTTCAAAGGATTTGTGGCGGATCACCGCCTGATTGACCATCACAAAATCCGCCGTTAAATATGATCACAAGCCACACTTTCTCCGGTAATGGTGGCTTTTTCCGACGGATTACTGATTGGTAAAGCCTTTTTGTTTTGTRGTGTAGTKAAGTTGATACCTTGTGTTTACCTTATTACAATAAWATCCTTTATGGGGATTTAAAGGTGGCAAATGTGATATATTTGGATGCACCTACGTTAACCGGATATTCATACACAAAAAATTCCGAAGCCATTGTTTCTAGCGATACATCATCAGCAGAACAAACTGCAGAATTTCTAAGAAAGGTTGGTGAAGGTTTAATAAGTTTTCAAACGTATATAGGTACTATTGATGAAGGATTCTTACTAAGAATTATTTACAACGCAGTTTGTTAAAAACCATCCAAGGTTTTTAAAGAATCCTATGTATGTTACTGGAATTTCGTATTCGGGGATTATTATTCCGATCATTACCGAGGAATTGTATAAAGGTATAATATTTAATATTTGTACTTCATTCTTTGCATATTGGGTCTAATTTAGCAACAAATATATCTTAAAGAAATAAAAGAAGAGTAAAATGACCTAATTTGTTTGTTTTACATTTCCAAATTTTAAAGGTAATGAAGAAGGACTAGAGCCAATTGTAAACATCCAAGTAAGTATAATTAAATTTCGAAATTTTTCTATGTACACGATTTTGTAGAATTTTTTAGCACACAACATGCGATGCCATATATTCTATGGACATTGACGTTGGAATTTTTCAGGGATAYATGGGGGGAAATCCACTGACGGATAAAACTGGTGATATAAACTCTAGGCTTGAATATGCTTATCGTGTGGCACTCATATCTCGAGAATTGTACGAGGTATGATATTATCATCTCCATTTCATCATGGTTCTATTCATATGTTTTYTTCATAATGTATAGAATGTAACTAATAATACTAATTTCCTTTGTGAATTATTAATTATAGGCAACACAAAACGATTGTCAAGGAGATTATGCAGAAGCCAATTCAAAC